TGCCTGCCCTATGGATTCATGACCTCAGGCCTGCTACGTGCGCTATGGATCCATGATCTCTCAGGCCTGCTGCCTGCCCTATGGATCCATGACCTCTCAGGGCTGCTGCCTGCCTATGGATCCATGACCTCTCAGGCCTGCTGCCTGCCTGATGGATCCATGACCTCTCAGGCCTGCTGCCTGCCCTATGGATCCATGACTTCTCAGGCTGCTTCCTGCCCTATGGATCTATGACCGCTCAGGCCTGCTTCCTGCCCTATGGATCTATGTCCTTTCAGGCCTGCTGCCTGCCCTATGGGTCTATGACTGCTCAGTTCTATAATCACACCTGCTACGCAACTGCTCAAAATAAACTGTATTTATGTGCTTCTATTTATTGTTTCTCTTGAGAATTATATAGAACAAATCACAACACCACCAAAGCAGGATCATGAGCACCTTGCTATAAAACCAAAGGGTATCAGAATGGAAGTGGGCTAGCACAGAATTAACTAAATTCTAAGCATAGCTGTCAGTTCCTTGGGTATCTGTCAGGCGAATGTTAAGGGAGATACAAAAATAACTTGAAAAGCAGCAACAGTTAATTAGCTGATACAAAGGTACAGAGAAGCATGACCCTTAAGGGAAATATAAGCAAGCCCTCAGGCAGGCTTGCAGACATGCTCCTGGCTGCCAAGTGCAAGACCCAAGAGCATCTCCAAATGTTTCGCTCAGCAAAGATTCAGAGGCTTTTTCACCGGAACCTAAATGTCACCAACAGAGAGGCGGGCATGATTGGTTTCTGTACCTTAGGGTTTGCAGATGAGGGCCTGAGGCGGCAGGGTGAGGCTGTGGAGGTGGCGTGGCGGGGGGCGGGGCACCGAAGAAGGCACGGAAGCCTGGAGCTGGGGGAAGCATCTGCCCAACTCGCCCCTGCAGCAGCTTGGGATTCATGGCAGCAAGTGGGCTCCCGACGAATCCAGGAACCCGTGCAAACTGGCTGGGCGACATCCGTCCAGGCTGTAGCTACGAGAGGACGAGAGCTCAGCTCCGATTCGCCCACATGTGCCCCGCTTAACCATGGTGAGGCCAAGACTGTTTCCATTAATAACTCCACAGTAAGAGTAATAGTGATGGAGGGCAAGAAGGGGCCAGCGCCTCCGCCGCTCAGGACAGCAGGCAAGGTGGTCCCTGGCAGTGCCTAGCACAGGCTTACCTGAGCTCCGCCAAGGAGCTGCGCTCTCTGCAGGGGGCTGAGAACAGGCGCAGCACTGGGAAAAGGGGGGCCCAGGAGGGGAGAGTTCTACAATAAGAAAAAGGGAAAAGTACATCCATATTATGAAAACAGGTAACTCTATGAGGGCTCTCAGGAGAAATGGAATATAAACTTTCATGTGGAAACTCTCCAACTGCAGAGCTTTTTGCGGAACACATAAAAGTACTGCTGGGGCCGGGGAGATGGCTCAGTAGAATAAGCACTTGCCTGGCAAGTGCAAGGGCCTGAGTTCAATCCCCGGTTCCACAAAAACCAACAAAAGTACTGCTATAAATTCCAGAATGCTAGAAATCATGGCCACAAAACATGAAAAAGCAAGCAAAAGACTGAGGAACTGAAGTAGCAGGGAACAAGCTGATGAGAGTGAGCTTTATTGTAAAGAAAAAGAGGACACAAGCGAGTTACGTAATCTGAGCTGGGGACAGAAACTGAAATATAAAAATTGTTTCTAAAGGACACACGCCACTCAGGAGACGTCAGCACTGCTTGCCCTAACAGTGGTCCACCAGGCAAGGCCCAGGACACAGGCAGCGCCCGGCTGGGTCAGGCTGTGAGGCTACATACCGGGACACTGCAGAGCTGGTTTGGAGACATCCTCTCGCCATAGGGAGCAGGATAACGCGGTGGCATTGGGGGCCGGACGTGGACGGGCTTCGGACACAGAATCTATCAGGACAAACATAGGTACAACTACACTCAATGAAATCAGCTTTTTTCCCACCTGGACGCCTCCCCTCCAGTCCTGGCAGAGACACAGAACTCAGCGCAAAGCCCTACTTCTAAGCAACTGCTACGGCTAACAGCTCAAACTCAGAGCGCCCGGTTGCTTCCTCACACACAGGTCAAGCCAAGAGCCGGCCCCACCCTTCCATGCCATCTAAGGGGGGTGCCAGCAAATGTTGACCTGCAATTTCTCTCCAAGAAGATCTATTTTGGCAGTGGCGAGGGAGAAGGAATGGTAAGAAAGCTGGAGGAGTAACCAAGTCCTATTTGGCGGCCTCTGGGATCTGGCCAGTGCTCAGCAATGCCACGCTACACTGCGCCTCCACTGTGTCATGGGACAGGGCCTGACTGGGCCGTACCGACACCGCCCTCCCCCCATACCTTCCAAATTGGCCTTCCTTTTCAGCTGCTGGTTCAGGTGGAGGGAAGTCTATGGAACAGGACTGCACAGGCTCTAGGGAAAGCAGGGATATCTTAAGGGTAAAAAGGGACGTGGACAATGCTGAGTGTTCCCATTCCCCCCAGCTTTCACCTCTCTCTCTGCCAGTGTATAGGGCAGCTAGAAAAACAGCTCAAAAAGGGCATCTGCACTGAATTTAAGGAATGACCCTTCTCTTCCCCAGTGAAAAGGTGGTGGTGGTGGTGGTGGTGGCGGCGGCGGCGGCGGCGGCAGCAGCAGCAGCAGCGAAGGGTGCTAGGGACTGTGTCTCTCTTTGTACTGATTTCTCTTCTAATGGCTACTCTTCTTCCTAATCCAACACCTACCCAAGCCTTCCACCCTCCTCTGCACCACCCATCTCCCAGGTAACTCTGCCCAGGTTCCCTGGCCTGGGCTGGGTGCCTGTTAAGGAGAGGTACCTGCTGGTTAAAGCTGGGCACAGCCACCTGCTTAGGTGGGGTGCCTATGGGGACGGCTCGCACAGGGGGACTCCCGATGACAGGTGACGTTGACCGCCGCGGCAGTGCACGCTCAGAGAGATCCCGCTCGTCTTCTGGGCCCTGCTGGGGCCTCTGAGGCAAGGCATACTCTAGTACAGACACCGTGGGCGTCTCCTAATGAGGAAATTGTTACAAGCTAAGTGAGAAACTACTTGAAATGCTTTATTAATAATCTCCGCACATGCCAAAAATATAGTAATTATTTAACATTTCTTCTTAAATTTATGTACAGAAAAGCTCACTCTTTTTGGTAATTCTTACTCAGTTCTTCTAAGTATTCTGTGCTGAATAAACAGAATGGACCTGCTGCCATAATAAAGATACAGAGCAGTCTAATGCGCCAGAAAGCCTTTGTAGTCTGGCTACAGCCAACAGCCTGTGCTGCAGCCAGGCCCTGGCGAACACCTCTTCCCTGCCCCACAGCTCTGCCACAACCAAAGCAATTCAAACACACACCTCAGAGAGAAGCGCTGGCATCTCTCTCTCAGCTGCTGCCCAGGGGCTCCAGGAAGAGCAGCGGGCAGAGGCAGACAGCACTACCAGTGGCTTCACCCTATGCGCTCCCACACAGGGACAGAGTGACAGGCACTGACCTAACGTCATCAGGAGTTTCTATCAGAAGAAAGAGAACACGCCAATACCTGAGCAAGCAGTGGACCTCGGATTCGCCTCAGAACTTCGGATCCATCCCAGATGCTAGAATTCAGACTTCCTGGTTGTGGCTACCAAAAATAGAAAACATGCGCACAACATCTGGAACTGTGCAGCTCTCGGAACGGCTCATCTGCCGTTGGGGACCAGAGGTCCAAGAGAACCTCAGCCCTCGAGGGTAAGAAATCACCGCACGTGATTTTCCAACTTTACTTTCCAGGATTGCGATTATCAGAAACTGTACGATCAGTTTTCTGCGGCACATGTATGTAATTCGTAAAGGCAAAGCTGAACAGCTGAAGAGTCCGCTAAAGCTTAGTAAGAGCCTCACAGTTTCATTAGTCTACTACAGCTCTCAAGTCAGGGCAACTTACTTGCAAAACCGGCCTGGTCTGCACGGCCCTCATGATGGCTGGGTCTTCCAGCTCGCCCTCGATCACCATCTTGCTGAGCCTTTCGGCCAGGTTCTCCTCGTGGTCCCCGAGCAGGTCCATCTCATCCCTCTCCCCGTTGCCCGCCGGCTCACTGGTGGCCGCCGGCAGTTTCTCTTCCAGCTCAGCCAGACGTTCATGCGCTTCCTGCCAGTCCTCATCTGGAAGACAGCGCAGCCCACGTCAGGGACACAGCACACACCGAGCCAAGAGGCTTACGAAGTGCTTCCGTAAACCAAATGGATGATCCAAATCCAGAGCCTGCGTGCAAAGTTCCAGTTCTGCTTAGACGTGTATACGGTGACTTCAAACAGACAGACCACGGAGTGGGCCTTTCACCAACAAGAGTGAAAAATACACCTGGACGCCATCAGAGGTGCCCCTGGCACAGCAGGAGCCGACATCCGACATACGCATACACCACTACCAGCTGGTTTTGAGATTTTATGACTTTTTTTCTTCTGTATTTTTAGTAAGAGTGTAAAAGGTATACAGGGTCTCGCTATGTAGATCGGACTCCTAGTGATCTGCCTGTGTTCAGCCTCCCAAAGAGGTGGGATTACAGGCATGCGCCACCACTCCCAGTCTCAGTCGCCCTCTCAGTGAGCCCTGGAGGGTGGGGTCGGCACAGCACACCAGGGATCAAACCCCAGCTGCTCCACTTTGCCTAAGCAGGCACTTTAATCTGCTAAGCTATTTGGCCGGCCCTCTGCAATTTTATGACCTTTCAGGCAATAAATTCAGAGAAAAATAAACACCATACTACTGGCGTACAACCGTCTTTTAAATTCTAACTGCCAACTGCACAAGCCTTTTCATCTGTTTGTCTCATTCAGTTCCTACTCCCTGTGCATCTGTTACATGGAAAGCACTGTTCTGGAGCTTATGTGGAAAAGGGACTCTCATTCAAGCTTCACTCAAGCTGGAAGAGACACTTCACGGAGAATAAAAATTCTGAATACTTAGCAACTCCCTAGAAGATGAAAGTGGTAGCAGCACAGAGAGGAAGAGGGAAACTGAAAAGTTCTGACTCACAGAGGGAGGCGTGCTGGGAAGAGGACCCTGAGCTGTCTCTAGCATAAGCAAGGAGCTGCACAACAGCCAGCAGAAGGCTGCGGGGCAGAGCACAGAGCGCGGCCAGGGCTAGGGGCTGGGGCTGGGGCCGGGGCGAGCGAGAGAGGAGAGCGTGGACAGAGGCGGTCCAAGGCGGGAGGAGGAGGGGCCCGCCCTGCTCAGGGACTCCTGTGCCCCTCTGGTTGCAACGCACGGCCCATGAAGCTGATGTGGTCAGGTCCACACCACGAGAACACATATCTTAAAATGCAAAAGTGCCTCATAATCCCACAGTTATGCTCCTAAAAATGCAAATCATGCTGGGTACTTTGGAGGCTGCGGCAGGAGAAGCCTGTGAATTCAACACCAGCCTGGGCTGCGGAGCAAGACCCTGTCTCAAAACACACGTACAGCTTGTTTCATTTTATTTAAAGAATGTATCTCCAACAACTTTTCATATATGCACACAGACAAAACATTATTATTTCACTCTTAGGCTGGCCAGATAGCTCAGCGGATTAAAGTACCTGCTTAGGCAGACGCAGGGTTCAGAGGTTTAATCCCAGCCTGCCTGCTAGCCCTGCTGAGACTGCACGTGGTGGCGCACGCCTGTAATTACAGTGCGTAGGAAGCTGACAATAGAAGAGTCACTACAAGTCTGATCTGTAGTCCCTGCACCAAATACAAAAGATAGAAAAACATTATTTCATTTTAATAGCTATTTATGAGGGACTGGGGAGAGAGCTCAGTGGAATAAGTGCTTGCCAAGCAAGCCTAAGGTCCTGAGTCTGATCCCTGGTACCACCAAAAAATAAAAATAAATAGCTATCTATGATTCTATTCTATTGAAAATCCAATGTAATTTATTTCTCACTGGAAAACCACTTGGATGATCGGCAACTTTTCTTTCCAACAGCTAAACTGAGTGTTATATGTACTTTAGAATTCTAAGCCAATGTGTAAGATTGGCTCCTTCTCAGGGACAGACTGTAAACGTTTAAAATTTGGTACCTTTACCCTATAATAATGTGTCATGTAACCCTAGTGATCAAAAATAAGGGAAGTGCAACTCCCAAATTCAAGGTTTGGTCACAAGACTTGACCTGCACACCCTAGCCACTGAAGGGGAGGCGGATACACCAGCTGTAGTGAGGGACTGTTGTGTCACCCTGGATAGTCTGGCACGGGCTGTAGAGCAATCCCTCCTTGAAGCACCAGTACACAGCTCTGTGATCCCTACTTGAGCCACCAACACACTGCTCTTCTCTCAGTCACGTGGGATACGCTTCCCTGCCCAACAGTTTCCTCTTAGCCAAGCGCGCATCTGGTGCCATTCCGACATGTCACTTTCCAGAAAAGAACTTAAGACAGCCACTTTCTTATGATGGCCTTTGATAAACACTCTGATGTGTTTAAAAGGGAAAAAAACCTGCTTTCCATGAAAATCAGTTAATTTAAGTGCCTGGCCATCTGTAATGTTCTTCAGGAACAGTGTAATTAACAATCAAGACATTAATATCTGTGTCACTGTTGGTAAGCCAAGAAAGGATAGTGTTTTGCAATTTTACTTTTTTTCCTCCTCAGCACTGGGATTTAGATACGCACCACCGTGCCTTGTTCGTTCGGGTTTTCTGGTACCAGGGATGAAACTCAGGACTTCGTGTTTGCCAGGCAGGCATTTACACTGCTGAGTTATCTCCCCTGCCCTGTTTGTTCTTAAAAGCAACATTCTGAAAAGCAAGTGTGGTGGTGTGCGTGGGTAATGCTAGCACTTCTGAGGCTGAGGGAGGAGGACCATGAGTGTGAGCCTAGCCTGGGCAACTGGGTGACTTGGAGCCGACCTTGGAAAACAAGGCTGGGCTCCGGCAGCAGCACGAAGACACAGGAGAAACAGGGTTTTTTGGAGACAGGCTGCTCTTCTTCAAACGATCTTGCAGCCACTTACATTTGCCTTTGACCTCAAGTAATGGCTGGGGAAAGGGACACAAGGCCACAGAGGAACAGAAACGCAGAGAAAGGCCCGTCTGCAGTCCTCCTCCTAAATCATCTACACCTTGATGTGGCCTTTGGATTTGCTTTCTCAGCTTATGCTTTTTTTTTGGTGGAACTGGAGATTGAACTTGGGCGCCTGTGCTTGCTAGGCAAGCTCAGCTTCTACTCTTAATGCCCCTGAAAGCCCGTATTTGGGATATGCTTCAATAAAACGCAAGGAGAGAGGACTGGATTTTAAGGCTTTCTTTTCCAGCGGAGTGGGAGACGTCCTGGCTGAGCACGAGGGAGAGTTCACTCCAAGCACAGCTGCTTTACCTCCTGGTCGCACTGCTCCTCACCGGCTGTGCCGGGGCGACAACAGCACCTAATCCTGAGTGCTAGCCCCACATGGCAGGCAGCTGCTTATTCTACTGAGCTATCTCCCCAGCCCCCCAAATGTTTCTTGTGTTTGGAAGACAACGACCAGTTTCTCAAGGAAGGTAACTTTAGGCCATTAGACATCAGTGACCTAAAATGTCACCTGGCTTTCCTCGTTGGTAGCGTACCTGCATGCATGGGGAGCGTTCTCAAAACCTGTAAGAAGCGTGGCAAGCACCAGCACCACTAAGTGACACAGTACAAGACAGGCAAGGATTCCCTGTGTGCCCGGGGAAGGCGACGTTAGGACAGGAAGCAGAGTGGCCGTGGTGGACAGACTCAGGCGATGTTCCTGAAGAAGGCCAAAACTACACAGACGAGTGTCCTGAGGCCTGAGTGTGGGGAGCCCACCTGCAGATCTAGGAGATGCTGGCTATTGAGAGATGCAATCATCTGGGACTGGCAGGAGGTAAGAAAGGGCCACATGGTCCGGTTTTAACTTTTCATGTTTTGTTTTATTGTGAAGACAATAAAATCTTGCTGTGTTCACTTTAAAAAAAAAAAAAAAATCAGCTGTACTATCAGGTACTCCAGATGCTCACCCGTGAGTCAGAAAGGGCCAAACCACTGCACAGGCCAAAGCCTGGAGCTCCACCTCCTGGCCTAACCTCCCATGGCGTGTGCCTGCAGGCTGTGCCCAACAGGTCAGAGGCCGACCTGGCAAGTTCTGAAGATTTATAGTGAGACAATGTAAGGAACTAAGTTTTACTTACAAATTCTCAAGGGAATGGGTTCGCCTTTGGCAATCTTCCCTCCATGGTTAACTCTGCTGACCCCAGGCCCCCCTCCCTGCGCAGGAGGCGGGGAGTGAGGTCCGGCCTCACAGGCTCGAGGCGGGCGATGCCGCTGAGCTGGCCCTGTGCTACTCCTAAGCCTCTGCGGTGCTGAACCTGGGGCCTTCGCCTGGAGCTTAGTCCCCTTTCCACATGTGAGACGGGATCCCGCTAAGTCGCTCAGGTTGGCCTCATGTGTACTTGGGCTTACAGGAGGCACTACAGCGCCTGCTAAGAGGCCTTCTTAATCACTTCTGCCCCCGGGTACAATGTGAGATTACCATATTTGGAGTGACTGAAAGTGCGCTGAATATTTAAACATTAAAAACATCCCTCCTGGGCTGGAGAGATGGCTCAGTGGTCTAAAGCACCTACTTGAAACAAGCTTGGCAAAGTACAGGGACCGCGGTTCGGTCCTCCAGCACCACATGCCAGCCAGCCCCGCCTCCTGGTGGGCTGAGCTGGCCACACACACACACACACAATAAATAAATGT